AAAATTTATGTCGTCCTCTTGGAAGATTGTTTGTTCCGGAACACGGCGAAACTCGTTAAACTTGTAAATCGGGGCAACGTTAAATGACAGTGATATTTTATGGTACTTTTAATAAACGCTCTATCGGACTCGAATTAAATTTCTTTTCTATCCTACTTGGAAAGAGACTGCACTTTCTACAAACTTCTTTGATAATTTTTTTTTTTTTTTTTATTTTTAATATTTATATTAATTATTTTTTTAATTTGTTGTGGTTGAAAATTCTCTTTTATAGAAATATCCATTAAATTTATACTCGATGTGTTACAAGCGAGAATTACATATCTATATCTTGTTTCGTACATATATCAAGTATAGCTTCAAACTTTTCACGCTGCTACGGGAATGCTGCTTCAAGAATTTTTCTCATTCAATGATGAAATCCAAATTAACAAATTGCCGATACATCTTTCGCCGAGGCGCACAGCTCATCCGAGACACCTCGATCGCCCGTTATGCGATCGCTCGCGGATGATGAATGACGGCGATAAATCGCGCGCGAGCCGATTTTATTCTCGGTGCCGCATCGCGCATTCTCGCGCCGCAAAAAGCACGACGCGCGTCGGAGAAACTGCAATGAGGGTCGGATGGTAAAAGCTAGTCGACGGTATCATTTGACGCGATAAATCCCCGGACGATTCGCGTTGGAGCGTGCGGCCGACGGCGACGCCGCTATCCGCCGCGTGATCAGCTGACGGCCGCGTATCAGCTGCAGTTGCAGCTGCGTCCCGAGCGCGCGCCTTCCTTTCTGGACCGCGTCGCAACGTCCGCAGAAATTTATACGCACGCCGCTCTTGGGCTCGTGATAAACACGAAAATCATTCGTATTTTTGAAATACGAGGCGCCGGTGCCGCCGCTTGCAATTTCCAGAACCCAACGTTTTTCCGCGACGCGCAAGAAAGTTCCGGATTTAATTAATTTATCTTCGTAAGGACAGTTAAAAATAACCGCGATTTATCGACCATCGTGCGACTTTTACATCCAAAGTATTGACATTTTTCTCGCGTTACTATTATTGGAACGCTCGCGCGCCGCCTCGGCGGCAATTTAATCACGCTTATGTCGGCCATGTCGCATGTCTGGATTAAATGAGATGCTTCCGATAATTTAATAGGGTTGACCGGTAATGGCCACTTTTATCCAAACGATGCGTCAATCTCGAACTAACACACACGCGCACGGGCGTTCGGTAAATGCTCAGAAGCACGCAATTTAACGATGCAATCTATTGCGACTTTCCTTCGGCCGTTGTTTTTATGCGACGCAGGCGCCGATGAGAACTTGCTTCATTAAATCAACCAAAAATCATCGGTTGTGTGTATCTTCCAGCAGAATCCGTTCTTCGAAAAAAGTTCAAGGTGGTCACGAAGTAGGTGGTATTCGAAGTAGTATTTTATTGCGTCCGCATTGAGACATGATGCAATTTGAAATTTAACAAAAGTTGCGAATGCCATTATAGTTATACATATTTTAGGAAATAAAAGTGCGAAGGAAATTAAATTTAGAGCCTCTTTAGCAAATCCACTTTTTATTCCATGATTTCCAAGAGATCCTGTTTAGTCGTATATTCGCGAATGAACATTAAAAGCGTTTTATCTGTCTAAGGTGGTAAGATTAGTCGTAATTGACAGAATGCCCGAGCCGGTTTGAGTATAATAAACGAGTGAGTCGCTCAAATAAAAATGATTTACACCGGGCGCGATGTGCCGACGAGATAGCGGCGACGTGGATTGAATTCAGATGAGGCTCCCCGCAAACGGCCCTAGATTATACCCGGTGTCCTTCGCGAAATATCTCTCGTGGTGATCTTAAATTAGCCCGATCTCGATCACACCATTATCGCAGCAAACTTGTTCCTAAATATGATAATAGCGTTTTGTGATTTGTTACGGTCTATATTTACGTTATTTCTTTGGACATCGCTGATAAAATCAAAATATATTTATAATTCTATAAAAGAAATAGAGAGAGAGAATTATAAAAATACATCAGCAAAATATACTAGTTATTAAATCCGCAAGAAACTTTAATTAATTGAAATTAATTAATTCAATCTTTAATTATCTCAAGGTTACATGAATGAACAATTTCGTAACGCAATCTCCGTGACGTTGACGTACATATTAATTTACTTAAGACAAAAAAATATCAATTTAAGTTTGCACAGACATGTTGGTTATAAAGATATATCTTGTAAAATGTCAGATGCACTGTACAAATAATATGACACGTGTTTTGCAAATGTCAGCCAGCGGGGCGAAAGAACGGACATTCCGGCAGGCGAATTATGTTAAGAGCGACCTCAATCGAGAGTATGTAGCGCACTACTTAGACATATATATAAATATAGTTACACCCCGGGAATTCCAATTAAATCCGATAATCCAGCATAATTGCGTTAGCACAAAGTGCCGCGGCCGCCGCTGTCATCGGAAAGAGAGAGAGACGTAGAGTATGAGGAGCCTAAGGCGCCAAATGCATTGGCCACACTTACCGGATCAAAGAGATCGAGATAATTCGAGAGAGGAAGAGAGAAAGAGAGAAGAAAAAAAGACGTTGATACTGGACAAAAAATAAATCGCCGCGAAATTTTACCGTGTACGCACGCGGAGCTACCGGATACGCATTTCGAAGGAGGGATCCGTTACGGACCCTTCGCACCAAGGACCATCCTTCGCCCCAAATCTACGACCGTCCTCACGATATTTTCTTCATATTTTCCTTCTCTTTGCTCTTCTCGACATAATGTAACGATTGTCAATGAAATAATGGGGTATGCAAATTTAGACGCGAAAAAAAGTACACCGAATAGTGCCATAAGAAACATTAACTGTTGATTAAACCGCATCGAATGTACAGATCTTTTGTGGAAACATGCTATTCTCGTTTGCACAATGAACTGATGTTTTCGTCGTATTATTAATCTTTCACTTGTTTAAAACGAATATTTGCGTGTACTTTTCGAAGACAGGTTTTCGCTTTATTACATACATGAATTATACATGCGAGATTTATAAGCGCGAAGGTAATCATTACTGCATGAGATGCACTTTAGTTTGTCGTCTTGTTATCATCATTATCTCTCGCACATAAATGTGAATTGTCGATATTTGGAAGTAATTGGATACTTAACACCTGGAAAACTTTATAACCGCACATCTAAACTTTCATTTCTCCATCGTACTGCGCGGGTAAATTCGGATGAAGTTTTATCGTTCGCAGAAAGTTGAACCCTGGTTCCGGCGTGTTCTCGATTTTGTTAATTTATATCTACAGCTGGGTTCGCGTCTTTTTATTCTCAACATTGTTACCCAAGTTCGCCAGTGAGTTAAATAAACTTCTTACTATCGCTCGCTCGCTTTCTTGTTACTTTTCTTTTTATTCGGAATAGATTCAGCTCCCAGAAGCTTTCACATCATTAATGGCTACCTAGTGGGATTTTATCAACATGTTGCAAAACTATTAACTATTAGTATATATACAGAATACTTTTAGACTTCATCTATTATCATTTTTAATCATTAAACTAACGTTAAAAAGCTTTTTATAAAATAACTTCTGATTTTACGTTTTGTAACGACTGAGACAATTATTATTAACATATATCCAATTTATTTTTTATAACTATTTAAATTTTCTTTTGATGCTATAAGATTTTAAAATTTTTCAAGATATAATTGAAAAGCTGGTTTGTGTAATTTTTAGCTATCACCGAGACACGAAATATCATTCATTCATATATCCTTTTTCTTTTGCTCAGAAGTGTTGCATCAATTTACGATTAATCCGTGTTATGTCATGGTTGAGTAATTTGCGCGCCTTAGATGACGTAATCCTTGCGGTAGTTTAGCCCCCATGTCACGCGGTCACCGGGAAAAAAGACTCCTTTGAAATTACGCCCTAAAGAAAGTGGCCAAGATGCTGGAGGGGATCAAGTAATTACGGCTGAACGTGGAGTCCCACAAATCCTTGTTGCAAACTTAGCAACTGCGACAGTACAATGAATTTCCGGAACAATGCTTCGAATAAACGTTGCGTCGACCTATAGTCGTTTAAATTACGAAATCGACTTTGTTAAAAAACTTATTATAGAACCGTTCGCTCCCAACACAGATTTTACAAAAAAGATATAGTACAAAAGCATTTATATTAATGCAAAAATGATGTCTTGTTTTGACATATAAATGTTGATGCATTTTTCATTAAGATATAAATTTTAAAAAATGTTCGTAAATGAGATTTAAAATTTTTCAAAGTTAGATCGAATTATATTATTGTACCATCATTTTCGTATAATATAAATGACTAATTATAAGTTATAAACACTAATTATGGATACTTCTAATATCTTAGAAACTGAGTAATTGGCTCTAAATGGTATGATGCGTGGGTTAAAAGAAAAATATATATGAAATGGACGATTCTTAACTCGTTGCGATTCGTATTCTAGAACAGCGCGTCAACAATTTATAGCCGACGGTTGTTCCTTTAATAAGCTCCTCGATTTCCCGGGGCTCGCGGAATTATAGTTTACGCGGGCGCCCGCAGATATTCCTACACAAGAAGAATCTGAGAGAATTTATTTGCGACCTAACTTGTTCTTTTCGCGAGAGCTGTTGCATTGCCATTCAAATCTAATAAAATATTTCATTTATATAATTTTCATTTGTGTACTTAACATTAATTGGTCACAAACAATTTGAAGAAAACTAGTTTGAAAAAATGATTTTAAAGTTATGCCCCATATATACTCTGTCTATTAATGTACTTTTCAAAAAATTGGAACTGATAATGGCAATAAAATTATATGCAAAATGTATAAAATATATTCATTAAAACTTGTGCCAAAATATATATTTCTTTTTTAATTGTTTAATTAGTTTAATTTTAACTTTTTAATTGTGTTGCTTAAGTTGTCATTATTTTACTGTATTTAAACACGTATCTTTTTTTTTTCTAGAAGGTCGTGAGACCCCGCTGTCACCGCCGCCCCCCTCGAGTTCTTCGGTTCAGACTTCACCTCGTGGCTTGGGTTACACGTGTGGTCCCATAGATGGATCGTTGTACGCTGTGGTACATCAGGGTGGTGCAGGAGGCGCCCGCGGCTCACCATTGACGGTTTCCATGGACAGTGGCATAAGTAGTGCACCACCGCAAAAACCCAGTCCACCAGAACCCGAGCCGGATAATCAAGCTCACGGAGATCTCGACAAGCTTCTTCATGATATGATGCTCACCGTCGAGGTATAATTTAATCAATTATGATAATTATGTATGCATAATGTTGATAATTATTATTGCATACTCATTGGTATGTAGAAAAGTTGAGAAAAATAAAGATTGAAAAAAATACGCCATTCAGATTATGAAATTTCCTCGCAGTCTATGCCAGATCCACCGACAGATGACTACAACCGTGATCGAAGCGAGAAAATGTACATTCAAGAAACGCGCAGCTATAGCAGTCACGGTAGCAGCCATCCAACGTCTACTTATTCCACTTTAAAGGACTCCTACAGAAGCTACGGCAAGGAATCCAGTCCGCCCTACAATTCCAGTAGCAGCTATAGCACTTTGAAGAACAGTATCGAGCATCGGAAGGACGATTTTGAGTATCGCGTATCTCCGGACCGCAAGATAACCGAGTCATCCAACGACTCTTATAGGAAGCACGCGGATTCTTTCTCGCCGCCTGGCAATATCGACTTCATCGACGAGGATATCCCGTATCACGCTAGACAGACCAGTCAGCCATTCTCGTACGGTGCCACCACCGACATGATCAAGCATCAGAAACTGTCATCGCCTTCGTTAGTGAGGAAAGCGTCTGTGCGCGGCGTGGCGCCCGTCGTGGATTTCGAGGACATTCTTGGCGAGAATTCCAGGAGACCCGTCAGCCCTCTAAGTCCTAATACTCCGGATCCGCCGCCGGAATTCGCGAATGGACCCGTGAAAAGTGGAACCGATCACATCGATGGGTAAGTGATCTTTTGTCTTAAAAAGTATGTACTGTATTTATAAATCTATTTGCGGTATATGCAAAAATTATTTTTTCCTATATTTAAGATTTTATCAAGCATTCTAAAAATAATAACGAAAGCACGAGAATATTCTCGCTTCATTAATTATGTTAAAATTATGTCGCGTTTATGCAACTCTATCCTCTCTGCGAAACATCATTAACTATTCGCTTTTATCTTTCTCCCTTTCTCTCAGCGTTTCTAAGAGAAATTTACGCTCTTTGTATCTTGCGACACACGATACCTACTCATTCTGTCCTGTCAACGACCGAAAACGGTTTCCTCCCGGCAAATAAATCGCGATGTTGCAAAAGAGAAAGAGATTAGACTAGGTTTCCGTGAACGTCGGCAGGGGAAATCGCGATGAGTGGGCCGTACTTCTGGCAAGGCTTCCAGACGATCGTCGGCCAGTATAGTGTCGCAATGTATTGTCCAAATGTGGCACCGCAAAAGAAGCGCTTGAGAGAAAGACAGAAGGGGGGAGGGGGAGAAAAGGAAAGAGAGAGGTAGCAAAAAAATTCGTTGATCATGGACAATTCATAAATTGTCGACGCGACTAACAATAAGACACGGTACTTTTGCCGCAAATGGTAAATGCGGTCGCCGTGAGTCATTCTCGTTAGTAACGTGAATAAAGGAGGAAATCTTACATCTTTGATGGTCGATAGCATCTCACGAATGACGTGAGATCTCAAGACGCGAGTTGCTAAGTGCAGTCAATGAGACTGTGCAAAGTGCTAATTTAACGTTAATTGATTGCAGGAACTGAGCGCGATTAAACAGAACTTGTGTGATATGAATTTATTGCTTATTAACTTTTCTTATTATTTAGATCTGTTACAATTCTTGCAGTAAATTGAAAGTTTTATAAATAAAAAATTTGTACTCTAAACTCGCGCGCGCGTATTTTAATAAGTAAAAACAAATCACATATTTGAAAGTTATACAAAAATTAATTTATACATGCACAAATTAGTTGATGTTATTTTAAAAATTGTTACTTAAAAATTGTTACTTTTACAATGAGAAAAATGTTTTGTTAAGCCTGCATTAATTTTTTTTACATATATGATGATATTAAGTAGATTTAACGTTAAACGGGCATGCATAGCGATGTTTCGAAAAAGGATCGCGTTTGTTATTGCATTTCGTAAACTTGAATGCATCCTATAAATGTGCAGTTACTATATAACGCCATTCACCTCAAAGTCATCAATTTTTTGCCGAGACTTTCGCGGTCCAGTCCCGCCCTGCATTTTACGAATGAGATGCCGCGCCCGAATGGAGGAGAAAGCACGCATGATCGCATTAAACGAGTCTGTTAACTCTGTTTGGTTCGACGTGACTATAAAGTGATATATCGATTCACGCCGTCACTCTTTCATTGCGGTATTATAAAAACACGCCGAATTGAGAAAATTGGTGTCATTGCATTGAACAATTCTTTCTTTCAAGACACGAACAATTTTGCAATTTTTACACATATGCAGAAAAACGTTTTTATTTTTTAATTTATAGAGTTAAGGACCTCTTATCGAAAATAGCATTTTTCTAAAGAGATATTTATATATAATTACTACTTCTATAAATTTCTTACTATCCTATAAATCTGTATTTTTAATAAAATATTATTATAAATTTTATTTTTATGCTGAATATTATTCAGTTTGCGAAAATTTCCACTTTAAAATTCTCAACCTCTGCTCATTTTTTTAACCAGTCACCCAAAGAGAGCTTTATAAAACGTGGAATTACGGAGGATAGATGGTAGCTCGTTAGGTACGACGAACCAAATATCCACGCTGTACAATTTGTGGCATCGTATTCATACATGAAACGCCGTGAAAATAAACTCACGATTTCCCTCCACCAGCGGAACGATTTTGCGCTAGGCGCGAATAACCGCGAGATTTTATGCGGTTATTTACGAAGAGATACTTCTCGACTCAGACAGGAAACAGACGACGTTTATGGTCGAGGAGATCGACGGACGTTCGGCAGGTCCACTTTCTCGCGGGCAAACGTGACATTCTAGCCGTGAGAACATCGGAGATCTTTATTTTATTCGTTACCTCTCTCACTAAAATAAAACGGGATGTTGTAATGTCGTGTTACTTAATGAACACATTTTAGAGATTTTTAGGATTGCAATATTGCGACGATTATATCGTCGAGGAAAAATACGATGGAGCTTAAGAGATGAAGGAATCACCTATCTTTCTTTCTCTTTTTCTTCCTCTTTTACGAGACGCTGGTCGCTCTCTGACATAATTATAAATATAGAACGGCCAAAAGAGACACGTTAAATCGACTTTGTAGAATTATAAATATAACTCACTCTGTCTCCATCTTATTTATCTTCATTTACTCTATATATGTTAAAATGATCTATGTATATTCATTAATGAAAAATATCAAATGTTTCCTGTTCAGAATAAAATAATTCTTTGTCTCAAAATATGTTATAATCGATATATAAAATAATATATATATAATTGGTACATTATTTTTCAATATCTATTATAAAATCTCAAAATTAAATCATTGAAAGAAATAATTATCTATTTCAATTCACACACTGTTATATTAGTAATACAACCTTATTTTAATTGTTATCACAAAATTTTTGTTTTTTCTGCAACTTTGCTATCTGTTTCTTCCCATAAAGTACGTTATATTGTGGTATCTTTTTTATTTTTCGGTAATTTTTCTCGCATGATCGCATTAAACGAGTCTGTTAACTCTGTTTGGTTCGACGTGACTATAAAGTGATATATCGATTCACGCCGTCACTCTTTCATTGCGGTATTATAAAAACACGCCGAATTGAGAAAATTGGTGTCATTGCATTGAACAATTCTTTCTTTCAAGACACGAACAATTTTGCAATTTTTACACATATGCAGAAAAACGTTTTTATTTTTTAATTTATAGAGTTAAGGACCTCTTATCGAAAATAGCATTTTTCTAAAGAGATATTTATATATAATTACTACTTCTATAAATTTCTTACTATCCTATAAATCTGTATTTTTAATAAAATATTATTATAAATTTTATTTTTATGCTGAATATTATTCAGTTTGCGAAAATTTCCACTTTAAAATTCTCAACCTCTGCTCATTTTTTTAACCAGTCACCCAAAGAGAGCTTTATAAAACGTGGAATTACGGAGGATAGATGGTAGCTCGTTAGGTACGACGAACCAAATATCCACGCTGTACAATTTGTGGCATCGTATTCATACATGAAACGCCGTGAAAATAAACTCACGATTTCCCTCCACCAGCGGAACGATTTTGCGCTAGGCGCGAATAACCGCGAGATTTTATGCGGTTATTTACGAAGAGATACTTCTCGACTCAGACAGGAAACAGACGACGTTTATGGTCGAGGAGATCGACGGACGTTCGGCAGGTCCACTTTCTCGCGGGCAAACGTGACATTCTAGCCGTGAGAACATCGGAGATCTTTATTTTATTCGTTACCTCTCTCACTAAAATAAAACGGGATGTTGTAATGTCGTGTTACTTAATGAACACATTTTAGAGATTTTTAGGATTGCAATATTGCGACGATTATATCGTCGAGGAAAAATACGATGGAGCTTAAGAGATGAAGGAATCACCTATCTTTCTTTCTCTTTTTCTTCCTCTTTTACGAGACGCTGGTCGCTCTCTGACATAATTATAAATATAGAACGGCCAAAAGAGACACGTTAAATCGACTTTGTAGAATTATAAATATAACTCACTCTGTCTCCATCTTATTTATCTTCATTTACTCTATATATGTTAAAATGATCTATGTATATTCATTAATGAAAAATATCAAATGTTTCCTGTTCAGAATAAAATAATTCTTTGTCTCAAAATATGTTATAATCGATATATAAAATAATATATATATAATTGGTACATTATTTTTCAATATCTATTATAAAATCTCAAAATTAAATCATTGAAAGAAATAATTATCTATTTCAATTCACACACTGTTATATTAGTAATACAACCTTATTTTAATTGTTATCACAAAATTTTTGTTTTTTCTGCAACTTTGCTATCTGTTTCTTCCCATAAAGTACGTTATATTGTGGTATCTTTTTTATTTTTCGGTAATTTTTCTTTCCTCAAAACTGCGAAGACACTAGAGGAACGACATTCGGAAACGGAAGTTGTTGGAAAGCGAGGTAAAAGCACGAAAGTCGCTCGTAGAGCCTCATATAATTTCTACGCAAGCTCGAGGTTGCGTCGTTTTTCCTCGATGGACGAGACTTTCTTATACAATGGGCTAAACTTTTCTATTGCACGGAAGATCTTTCCATTCAATGTTTTTTACCATACTTTTACATATTCATATACTTTTAAAATGCAGCTTCGCAAATTATTGTGTCAGATAAACAAGATGATGCTGCGCAAAAGTTGTAAATGATGACAATTGGTAGGACAATGTAGAAAGTTTAATTTATTATATCAATTTTATACATTGATTTGCTGTCATTGCGTAACATATAAAGGAAGATACATCTCTCATAAATTTAATAATTAATATATAAAAATATATATAAAAATTATGAATTATTAAACTTATACGAGATATATCTGCTTTTATATGTCACGTAATGACAGCAAACAGAAATATGAAACTGACGTAACAGAAATAAAGTTATGAAATAAAAGTTATTAACAATTACATATATTATATAAACATAGAATTACAGAATAAGCTCTAATGTAATTTATTATTGAATAGCCAACAAATACGTTTCATACAAATCCATGATCTTTATTTTTAATTTATTTTTACATAAACGAACATTATTTTAATTTAAAATCCATGGGAGGTGAATTGAAATATTGCACATTGCGTTGTTACGCAGATGAGATTTGGATTTGCATATATACGTAATTGCATTTTGTGCCACGTTTAGTTTGCGTGCGAGCCATGTGTTTCTATTATAATTTCTGCTGATACTAGCATTGGGATATATACACTATAAATAACCACTTTGTTATCAATAATTTAGAATTTAGAACTTAAATTATGCATATGAAATAGCGATAATAATAAAAAAGATAAGACTTCGATAGTTTCTCATCTTTTAAAATCTAAAGATGGTAAATTATACACATGTATATCTAACAGAAAAAATATGAAATAATTTTTGAGCAAGATACAGTAAATTTTTGCCGCAATTGAACGATCGAAGTAAATCAACAAAGATAGAATGGAGTGTTTGCTATTCATGAATAATAGAAAAGAGGCAGAATTCCATATCTCTTTGTTTTAATAATACGACGTATCGTGTTTGGACTTTCCAAGAAACACAAATCAATATTTCAATCGATACATTTAAAATAAACATGGATAATCGCAAGAGATTCAACGAATCGGTCAAGGTTGATATAAGCTCGAGGTTCCAATCTCTTTCGTATTTGATGCTTTTAAATTTAACGCATCCTTGCATCTTTAAACATACATACAATTTATCGCGAATTTTTTTTTTTTTTTTTTTTAGAAAAGTTAATTTATTATTTATCGACTTAAAAACTCTTTCTTTTTTCTTATCTATCTACCTATCTATCTATTTCTTTCTCTTTTTTCTCTTCTCTTTTTATAAAACATTAAAATTTTTTTTCTATATTAGATATGAATATATAATGTTGTTATGTATCACACATTCACGTTGCGTACATATATTTTGTGCTGCAGTAAATATCTTTCATGTAAAAATAATATAGAATTTTATAATATAGCCAACGGCAAACTCGACGATCTAAAGCGACGCGTTTTTAAACTAACGCTTTTCTCAAGCGACAATTTCACTTGCGAAGCGCAGTTTACAACCCTCCCGAGAGTTGTGCGCGTTTGGGCGGGATATAAATTTTATTAAAAAAAAAAAAGAAATCCTCCGTGACTTACGCTGATTGGCTACCGAGGCCGTCGTTTATTATCTCGGAGAACGGCTGGATGTAACGCGCTCTCCGGAGCCTCACGGGCCAGTGGCCCGAAGCGACCTCATCGATCAGAGTGTAATTATCGGCGTCTATCGCGGTAGGAGGTCCAGAATCTGGCGTAGCAAAATTCCGCGAGTCTATTTGCGAAGAGCCGACGCGTTCTAATGAGCTTTTGTTATCGGAGTCGCGGTCTCGTGTTCCCTACAAAGTGCCCGCAACATCTCGTATTTTCATGTACACACCGTGTAACGCGATAGGACCCTATTGCGAGGCACGAAAGCGAGAAACGTCGCCACGAGATCTCCGGCGCTACTTGGGACGTGCTATTATTTTCATGTTTCTTTTTTTGCCTTTGTGCACGGCATGCTTGATAGAAAGACATCAAAAAGCTCGCGATTAAATAGTTCCATCCCTTTCATCGTTTAGATTATCGTGGCTAAGGCAACAACAGTTGAAACTAGCCGCTAGGAGAGATGAAAGGAATCCTGGCCGACTTTGGCGACAAGAGACCGGAAATCGTGTCATCGGCGAACTTAGGAGCTTGCAAAGGGGAATATTGAGACACGATGGTTACGCGAGCGACTCGGCGGTTCTCGACGACGATGATGATACGTGGATAGCGAGTTCCACTTCTGGACAGGTAAGAAATTCTCAGGATATGAGGTTTGAAATATCAATTGAAGCAAATCATTAATCTGATGATCAATTAATCGTGACCCTTTTTTTCACATGAAATTTGTTATAGCAAAAAAACTAATAGCACAAGAAGCTTATGGAATTATATTAAATATGTAATATATATTCTATATATATTCATATATATAGAGAGAATTTTTTTAATAAGATCATTATTAGTTCTAGAATGCAAAGAATAATGTAGCATGAAAATTGAAATACGTACTTAATAAATAACGTACTTATGTAATTTTCAAAAATTTGGCTACAAAAAAATATATAGATTTTTATGACTTTTTTGCAACTTATTAATACAACAAAAAGCGATTTAACAATTACTAACACATAACAGACAAATCGCGCATTCTAGGACTAATTTAATTGACATTCGCACATTTATCGATTAGCCGTCCTCGAAAGCTGTTCCGTACACCTCCGCACCAGCTAGTCCTCTACTTCCGCAGAGATCGAGCAGCCGGAAATATAACGGTAATGCCGGAAACGGTGTTCTCGGCAGACCGCGAGCGGAGAGTATGAACGAACGACCGTTCGTCTCCGTAAAGCGCGCCTATGAATATCGCAAGTACAGCGACAGTCAGGTGAGTACACGTATGCAAATTTTGGGTATATATTCGACGCACTCTCTGCTCGTTAGATCGCTGGAATCGTACGTGCCATCGTTTTGATTAATAGCGTCTTGTACATTACAATTGTAATTATGATTTAGTATTTTATAATGCTTAATTACGTTCTCTCTATGAAAAACATACAAGCGATATAAAAACATTTACAACTACAAAAATAAAACTTTTGAAAAGTTTGAATAATAAATAATATATATTAGATAATAGGTTTGATTTTATCAATAATTTGTGTTCAATTTGCATTTATATTTTATATTTCTTGATATTAAAAAAATTTGCAATTATTATAGAATATTATTACAGAACTGAAAGTGAAATTGTGCAGTAACCGAGAATAATATTGAACGAAATGAACAGTTATTTCGCATGGAGTTTTCAAAACGGTGGTACGATCGATTCCGCTTTATGGCAATAAGAGAGCGGCAGCACAAAAGCTACAATTTAGACTCCATAGATAACAAGGAAACTCCCACAAACAACGCTATATCTTATAACAATACCATATGGTTAGCCTCCCCTAAATAGCAAGAAACGATCTTTCTAAAACGTAGACCATAAGACGATTACCTATCCGAGATAGAAATTTCCTTTAAATTTTTTTTATGCTATACTTCCGATATGCACTTATCGAAAAAGAATTGCATAATAAATTCTCTAAATATTCGTTTTACATTTGTAATTTGAATATTTAATTAATATATAATTTTATTATAAGTTTCACTACTATTCAATAACAAATATTTAACGCAATATTAATTATGTTAATGTTACTTATCGGTTATTAAGAAGTTCTGCTTCGGTGATTAATATATGGTATTTCTCACATTTAAAAAATAGTAACATTATACATCATATACATGTACAATTTTTGAAGTCTTAATTAAAGTTTGCGAAACGCACAGAGCTGCGTAGTATTATCAAAAAGAGGTCATTCTCTTCATCGTTCTCGCGCTACGCGAACAATTTCTAGCTGACACGGCAGCTGCGTTACGACTCCATCGCGTTAACTCGCGCGCCCATTAATTAGCCCGCGCAATTAATTAACAACGATTCGAGCTTAAAACTTCACTAGCGTGGGTAATCGTGGGTACTCGGAGCATAGCACCGAAAAGATTAAATGCTCTTAGTTCGCCGGCATGTAGCATAGCGCTTGGCTTGCATTCCAGAGCCCTCCGACATCCCCTCGCTCAGCCTTAGCGACCGCGCCACCCTTAGGGTTAGCGAGCCAGCAATCGAGCTCCAACAACGCGGAGAGATCGCAACAGCATCAGCAACAACCTCCGCCGCCGCCGCGACCGGAATCGCGCAGCGATAGTTTCGCAAGAGCGGATGCCTTGTTGCGCGAGCATCGTCACCACCAGCTGCAATCCGGCATCAACAATAGCCACGATCATATCGAGCGAAAGCAAACGATCGCGACTCAGGAATACGCGACATCAAGTCGAAGCGCGCGTCCTGAATCGCGGAATCGCGTTGCTTATCAGAGTGTCGGGAGTTACAGTTCGGCCAGCAGCGGCGACCAGGTGGACGGCGGATTACTGACGATGGTCGATCAACCTGATCCTCTCGTGAGCCTCATTCAATCACTAGCCGAAATCTCACCGATTCGCACGACTCCGAGCACGCCTAAAATCGAAAACGAACATCCTGCTGACAGCCACATAATCTCAACCGCTACTACAATGCCTACCAATGTACCTAGCAATGTCACTAATTGCTCCCCTAATCAGTCGCCAAAAGCATGGCAGAATTGCATTCAGGTTTGTCTCACCCTTACATGCAAATCCCGCGCGTCCTTGCCCAGGAATCGTATGTTTTACGTAATGCTTGTTTCATGTAACAAGCATTTGTCTTAATTTTTTTATGCATTTTGCTAGTGATTAGTCGCTATCAAAAATTCAACATCAATCCGGTATTTCAAGCTTATCCAGCACGCCTCGCTTGGCTGGTAGCGCATAGATTGACGTAGGAAACGGCGATGTGTATTTTGTTCGCGACTAATCGATATCTCATCACGTTATTACGCCCCGCGTGTAATTACAATAATCGCCTTGAAATCCACGCAGCCACACAATGACTCGACGTCATCGTGGACCGAGAGAAGCGTCAGTCCTGGAAGCGCGGTCATCAGCGGCGCCTCGCGACCGCAGACGCCGGCATTTCCGGTCCATCCGCGAACGCCATACGTCAATAACGCATCACCAACAGTGACATTCGCCAGTGATCGCACTTACATGACGTCCAACAACAGTTACAATGTTAGCAATAATAACAATAATGTTAGCAACGAGGCTGGCGGTAATAATAACAATAACGTCGAAAGCTACGGCGCCGAACGAACGATATATATCGAAGAACGAAGAGAAGCCTTGAAGGAGACGGGGCTTCCACCCAAGAGTCCGACAACACAGCGGTAGGTTCTACTTCCTATTTGATATTTATTTATATTTTCAATAAATAATTACACAAAATTGGGAATTAAAAATTTTTAGGATTTTCTTGCGATGCCGACAAATTTTATAGCTATTAGCTATAAATAAAATTAAAACATATTTATATTGCGATACTACTATCTAGGAGAGAGTTTTAACAATTTTAATTTTATTTAAGTAACTAAATTTTAATTAGGTAACAAAAAATTTTAATTAGATAAAATAAAAACATTTTCTGTTTTATGACAGAAATTTTAACGAGAGATATTGGAATTTAGAATATTTTTAACTCCTGAATTTTGACGGGTTTATCAATTGGAATACTGCACACCCGTGCCACTTAGTATTTTACAAAAATATTTCTCTAATAACCCATATATATGACGTACTATAACACAACAACAAAAAATTTCTTTGAACACGATAGAGGATTGCAAAGCAACGGTAATGATGATGCAGAATAATATTCGTGATTCTAGACGCTTGAGTTTTCCGGCAAGCGGGCCGCTTAAACAAATGCATAACAAACGATGGCCGCTCACTAATCAATCGGCGTCGTTCGACTATAGGTAATATACATCACGAAGAATCGCGCGAACAAGCGATCTCTGTAATTGAACATGCAATTAACGACGTTAGAGTTAATCACAGCGACGGAAAGCGTCGCGCCCAATTATGCACCATGAATGTTTTGTGTCATGTTACTAACCGCGCGTGTGTTGATATCCTCGGAATGCGATTGCATCATATCGTGAATAATAAATCATTTTTATTTACGCGATAATAGATCGATGTATGGAAAACATCTTTTCTAAATGAAATTTTTCTTTTTTTCTGCGTTTCTCTCATAATCCTAATAACATTAATTTTATCGTTTTTCTATCTGCATTTTTGGTGTTTATTAATATTTACTACAAATTTCAAAGATTTATTGTAGATTATAAAAGGATCGTAACACATTATAATTTATCGCAATAAATTGTTTTAATTATCTTATTTTATGTATTTTATGCAGTTGTAATAAAAAAATTTAACTCGATTATATCGTGAATATAAATCGTGTTCACGTATGCTAGCCATATGTGTGTGTTGCACTTTTGAACTAACAAGAACTCGCGTTTCCTTACATCGTGTGTCATAGAAATCTCTCATAGAATAAGTACATGTATCGAAGAAATAAATTATATTGTTAAAGAACCAAGACAACTTTTCCACTATCCTCACGAAAAATTCAGAGAAAAATATCTTTTCTGTCAATCATTCTTCTTGCTTTTTCGCTAGAAGCGTTCGTTTCATTTAACATTAGACACTCCTTTCGCGTTTTCCGGACTCTTTTCCACGATAGTGTGTACCATCTATTTCCAATGTTTTCCTCACGATGTATAGCACTATGCACGAGTCAGCCAATACACGTCTGCCTGCACGGAAATGTCGATACATTTTTGCGGAATATTTTTTAATGTTACGCTCAATTGCTTATTTTACAGCAAGGACCGACCTGTTTCTCCGCTAAGCGAATCGGCGATGTCGCAGCCGCAGGCTGTTTCGCGCAGTCCTGGAACACCGACCCATGTAGAATTCGCCCAAAGCCCCAAAGTAAGCATTCCTATATTATGTTATATAAAACTATGTGGTATCGTTGTTTCAATTGTATTAAGATGATAGAAGAAAAGAAAGAGAGAGAGAGAAAATAGCAATTATATATACTGAAATCTTATTTAAACTTTTTAATTAGACAACGATATGATTTTCTTTTACTACTAATTTTGTTCAAAAATAATTTAATTATTGTGATATGATGATTGAAAGAAAATACTAGAAATATTTATTAATTACGTTAGATATTTTATGATATATCGCGTGAGAAAATTATATTAAAAATATTTGAATAGAATTATTTTTGGACTTTGCAGAGTGCTACGTCATATACTTCGATCAATAGTGGTGGTCAATCTTCACCGCAGGTTCAATATTATGGTTCAAGACGCTCCAGCATTCATTCGAACACCGAACCCCAGGAGGTGGCCGATGCTAATGTGAAATTTGTACGCGATACCAGCAGAATCTGGTACAAACCCAATATATCGCGGGAGCAAGGTAGTTTTCAAACCTCTCTTTTTGTCTTTTATAATCAAACAATTCTTTTTTTTTTTATTATAAATGAAGAATAATTATTCTAGGCATATTTAAGATCTAGATCAAATATAACAATAGCAATGAAAAATTCAAATTTTATTTATAAACTCCTCTATCTAATTTCTTATGCAGTTGTCTAAAAAAATTGCGATTGTTGCGAGAGATAAACATGACAAAATTTTTTAGCAATTTCGATGCTGAAAGACGCGACACCCGGCACATTTGTGGTACGAGACAGCAACTCATTCCCAGGTGCCTTCGGGCTAGCATTAAAAGTGGCAACGCCACCCCCTGGAGCTCCCAGCAGCCCGCGAGATCCTTCGAGCGAGCTCGTCAGACATTTCCTGATCGAGCCAACATCACGTGGCGTTAGACTAAAGGGATGCGCAAACGAACCGGTCTTTAGCTCGCTCTCAGCATTGGTTTACCAGCATAGTCTAATGGCCATGGCGCTACCTTGTCAACTGTTGCTACCTGAACCGGAAGCAGCCGCTAGAGCTTTAGATTCACCTGGTACTAATAGTACTCAGCAGCTTCTTGCTCAAGGAGCAGGTAATTAATTCACTAATAATATTTCTACGTTAAAATAGACGCGATAAAAAGGAAACAACGTAAATTTTCTTACAGTCGGGTAAAGACTTAAAATCTTTAATTTATTTGATCTCGTGCATTTAAAGCAGATTAAATTAAAGACAAAATAGAGGAACTTTAAATTTTATTTAATTACTAGAGATTGATTTTGAGCTTAGAACAATCTTTCATTTACAAATCCTTTTCGATTTATTAAGATTAAAAAGAAAAGAAAAAAGTTTTATAAATATTTTAAATATTATTGTTGCAGCTTGTAATGTTCTGTACCTCTTTACAATTGATACGGAATCTTTGACTGGACCGCAGGCCATTAAAAAAGCTATCACCAACCTGTTTGAGCAGAAGCCGCTACCGATTGCCACGATTGTTCATTTTAAAGTTTCCACGCAAGGCATTACTTTGACTGACAATGCGAGAAAGATATTTTTCCGTAGACATTATCCAACAAATAACATAAGTTATTGCGGACTAGACACCGAGGAACGCACGTGGGAGTTTGCCAGCGAAGATACGGGAAGATCACTTAGCGCCCAGTATGTTTTTGGATATCAATTTTTTTAAAAAACGATGCAAAATAACAAATTTTTGATATTTTTAAATATATAATATTTTAGAATTTTTAATTCTAATCGTGGTAGATTTCTTTTTTAAATATTTGGTAAAGAATTTGTTGCAATTCAATTTCTGCCTTTAATTTAATTTATTTGCTTATCATTTTTCTCTAGTCGCTGCTTCGGCTTTGTGGCGAGAAAGCCTGCTCACAAATCGGACAATCAGTGCCATGTATTTGCCGAACTGGAACCAGAGCAACCGGCCACGGCTATTGTAAATTTCGTGAATAAGGTCATGATGGGAAGCTCCATCGTCAAGGCCAATATCGTCTAAGAATCGCTACTCGCTCGCCACAATCGCCAAGGTCAACAAAGGCACAAACATTACTGCGAGTTTATTAACGATTCCACCTTGAAGGTTTCGCATCGACTACATATCTCTAGCGAAAATAAAAATGCAAAATCGAATTGAGAGTAAAACGACCATAAGGTCGAGAATGAATAATCGATGTAATCGATTGATAAAATCATTATGCGACTGACACGCAAAGGATACACGCAAATCTTTTAAAAGAATCCACCGGAAATGGCACTGCACGAATTAATTATTATCCTTAACTGACTAATAAATCTTCGTGCATTTCGTAACGTTAAATGAGTAGAGCATCCCTGTTACAAACAACAAGGACGATACAAATATCGATAAAACGCCGGGGAAAAGTCGAGGATCCCTCTCTTCAAAAGAAAACGAGAAGAACGAGAGGCTATGCGTGAATCGATTCCATCCTCGCGTCAATATGCAGTCAAGATAAGAAAGTTATTGTTATGATTATCGTTATTGTTGCGATTTAACGTAGCGAATAGTAGAGTCCTATATAATAGGTGGTCTAAAGAGAGTAAGGTGGTCAAATGACAGTGTTGATATTTATGGGTATATGTTCAATTTTTATAAATTATTAAAATCTTGACCATTCTCTGTAATGTTTTTTAAAATATATAAGAAATATTATAATTACAATATTTAGCTTATATTACTTATTATTTAGTAATTATCAAACTACTGTGTGCAAATTTTAAATTATATTTTTGCAAAATATATTTATCCATATATACCTCTCTCAATATTTAAAAAAAAAATTCTTTTTTCTTTTTTGCGAAATTGCTGAGTTCGTGATTTCGCCACCTTCTCCCGCCTAAAATACGATCGATTAGCCATCAACACGCGAATTTATCGATAGCTCGTAGTCATAGTTGAAGAGAATCAACCGTGCCCTTCGCGCGATCTACGAAGGGTATCGAGCATTCGAAACGAGCGTATCTCGCGAGACATTGAATGCGCCTTCGGTTTCAAAAACTATTTACGCACTGTGCACATACACTTACGCATCGTTACGCATACTACATACACATAACACTATCACACGAAAGATAATGAAATGCTCGCGCATTTACTATGCAAGATGGATTCCAAGCAATATTATCTATATGATTTAGTATTTAAAAAACTTTCCAATTCTCTTCGCCTGTGTTCGAAAAGATCCGTCATGACAGAATTAATTTATTTTAGATTAATAAACAAGTTTTATATATATAAGAAGGAGAACAAAATTTTAAGTTCTTCTTGATTTAAAAAAAAGAACCTACAAGTGAAATTTAAATGGCGAATAGATTGTTAAGTAATGCGCGAACATATTAAATTTCTATATTATCACGTTATACTGGAGACTCTCGAGTAATTATATATATATATATACAGAATACCCACTCTTAAAAAAGACTTGTTAAATCAATAATCGCAAGTATTGTTGCCTCTTTTCCCCGATTGATACACTGATTGATTATCTCGACATTACGCATTATTTTATATCAACAAAAGCCTATCATAACTGAGCCACGTATTTGATAGTTTGAATATTAAGTATGTGTGTATAATTTTGATTTAATCGATTTTGAAAAAACGCGTAACTAAAGTTAATATGTAAGTGATCTTATAAATATGTATGTGTACCTGTGTGTGTGAAAAAAAATTAATTAACGCTGTTAATGATTAAAACTCCTGGATTCGAAAGAACACGATTAAAAGTATAGGAAAATATAATAATTATAATAGAATAGATCTCCGCGTTTTGGAAATACTAATTTTTTGCATGTCATATAAAGACACATTCAAATAATATAGGATAAGTAGATTTTTTTCGCTTTTCTGACTTTTTAATTAGAGTCCTGTGTAGCACGCTACAAAATTAAAAAAAAAACTTAATTTTTACGCTCTAATCAATATACAAGAGATATCACAATTTTTCATATAATATTTTAAACCTGACAGTATACTTATTACCGGACGATCATATGAACGTGAAAGAATTAATTAATGCTGCTAATAATTAAAACTCTATAAAAAATAGAAGATTACAAGAGTATTATAGTAAAATAGACTTCTATTTCTCAGAATTCGATTTTTCGTATGTCGTATCACGTATCAAGATATTTCTAATTCCTGAGGGGAGTACGAAAATATTTGGAGCCCATTTTTCTCTCTATTCTCTCGATTACTGTTTCTTTTGCTTTTATTTTATTTCAAAATATTAATATAATAAATATATTAAATATATAATATATTATATAATATATTATATAAAATAATATATTATATAATTACGGTATCTCTCTTAGTCTGACTCTTCCCCTTCAACCTGTCCGGCATGGGTGACCCTACCGGTAACTATTAGCATTTTCGAGTGAAGCAGGTTTGATCGCTTTGAAAGCGATTAAATCCAATTTGCCATGAATATATGTTCGATCAAAAAGAAGTGTATGTCGCCTTGTAGATTTTCAGACAATCTGATTAATATAAATATATAATTATTTTTTACATTAATAATATAAATAATAAAGTTTATGCCCCGTTTTTGACGCTATTTTTGCTTCAAAGCACAAGATTTGTTGCCCTCATTAAACATAAAACGCCTATTCAAAGTATTTCTTCAATTAATCTAATAATTCAACTATCCCTAATAATCCAAGATGGAGTATATGACGTCATTAATCAATAGTAGAATCATCAAACCTACTTTACTCGAAAATGCTGTACGTTACCGCCGGCATAGCTCTCAGGTTCATTAGAGTACTCAAACCTCCTCACCCGGCAAATGCCTTCGTTAAGGTGGAGATACCATCGAGGAGGAAAAATGTGTGAGGACAGTTTTCCTCTTTTTTATTTCACAGGGTTAGGATCTATTTTATTTTTATTTTTATTCTAATATGAACTCTAATATAAACAAAATGATACAATAAATTTAATATACAAAATACAATACAAAATATAATCTAACATTTAATATAAAATAATTTATTACATGGCATTACACGAGAATATCCAAAATATACGTATAATAAAAAATTTATTAGAAATTTTTAGACTAGACAAGACTTTTTGACAACGATTAATTATGCGATATTTATTATTAATAATTGACATAAAATTATAAAGCTTAATAAGTTTTATATAATATAAAGACTCGCGACCAAAAGAGTCATTAATAAAGTTATCAATTGTTTTTAATTGTAAAAAAAAGTACTTATATTACTGGCGCATTTTGCGCAGACTTTCAAAGGAAATATTCAAAATGCAAAAATATATACAAAGCTTCGATGGAAATCAACGATTAAATTATAAGATAAATTGTGATTTAAAATTCGCGAGCAAACGCGACGAATAAATAAATCATCGTATTCATAATATTCGATTGCGATACGTGTAATTTCTATAATAATCGAAACCCACGCACACGTACGCGCGAGCGATGTAATCACTATCATTTTTATATATAAAGATATTTCGAAAGACATTTGAGATCTGTAATATAGTATCCACTGCCCGATTTATTTTCCGATACGCCATTTTATACAAATGTCACGATCAACAATAAGATATATATTCTATCTCGCGGATGATTGTTTTAACAGGATAAAATGGGTCTTACAAACCTTAAAATATCGTTATAAAAAATCGCGTTAGTACCACGTTTTATAGAGACTAACAGACCCAACGATTTTAACAAGGCTCTCCCTCCGCCGGGTGATACGCCGGTTAATATCCGACAAAGAGAAGAACGATCCTAAAGGTGGAGAACGACCAACGTCTTGTTTCTACATCATCTAAGATATTTTTTGGTAACGTTTAAATAAATTAATTTGTCGATCTTTTTCTGATATCGGGGTACCCATTCGGTTTGTCTCAAACTTTTTAAATATCCGCACATTTTACGTTCTATTCATATAATATATCATTCATATATCATTCACATATATAATATAATATTCAAGAAAGTATAAAAATTTTTTTAAATGGTATGTTGATTTGAGCATGTATTTTATTATATATATAGAATAGTACATGTATTTAAAAGGATTAATCCAGGACTGATCCTACAGTGGCGGGATGTCCAATATCTGCAAATAGTTTCTTAAAAGAAACTCATTCCAATAATAAGACCGAATTAATGCGCGTACGCAATTTTTAACCAATATACAAATAATAAACACTCACCCTTGAGTTGCTCCGCCGGTGCAGGATGCCTCTCCTAGGCCTGCTCCTCCTCTCAGAATGTCAGGGACGCTACGTTGCTCTGTAACATGCAAATAGAAGATCCAAATTGTAGCAGCGCTCAAAATAATTAATATTTAAAAAAATGTATTATACGCATTGAATTTTATATTCGATGCATACAATAATATACAGATTAATAAAATAATTTTATAAGTTTTGAAAGGATTGTTCCACCAGTGCCCGATGCCTCTCCTAGGCCTCCTCCTCCTCTCAGGTTTATTCACACGCGCGATACTTTAAACGGCACTTCCGCACTTTAATTAAAAGATTACTTCCGCACTTTCACGCGCGATACTTTGAACGACACTCCCGCACTTTCGAATTTCGGCACGATCGAACCCCGCTTCACGAGAGAATCATACTTCGAGTCGACAAGTCGGGAATTCACCGATTACTTCGAGCAAATACGTAAACAATGTTTACGCGCGTCAATGTTTATGTCGTCGAGGCCAAATACCATGTTAGGCATTGTTCTAATTCGTTACCAAAATATTTTACATATCAAATATATATGCGAAATGTTAAATTATATAAGTATTTCACATTATAGATCAATTATTCATTAAACGGTTGATCACGGAGTTTATCGTTATGTTAATTATTCGGACGCGCAATTCGATTATTTTATTGCACGTTCTTAATCCAAATTATATTAAAATCGTCGAAAAATCACATAATAAAGCATCGCGGAGAGAATATATTTGACTCTACGTGTTATTAGAGAAATAATTATTGTCCATAAAGATCGCAATAAAACGATATTATATTATTTTGAATTCCTGTCACTACGTTTCTTACTTGATTAATTGAATAAATTATGCAAAATATGCGCTTCGAAACCTATCGCGAAATATGTATGTAGTAACATATTATATATAAATGTTAATTAATTATTAATTGTCTTATTATAGCAAGTAATTTCACAATACTGGTCGCGAGCGCGTTTAGAAAAGGAATTCGACGGAGCGTCTCGAATCACTATGTTTCTGTTCGAGTGTCGTCGCGTAAATAATAATAACTATAATAAGTATTATAGGAAAGGAATATGTGACGTAGCGTCTCCCACTATTACAGTATTATTCAAGTACGCCGCGCAAATGATAACAAGGCCGTAACATGTAAATAATAGCGCGTTAATGTTTACGTCACTAAGACCAAAAATACCATGTTATTCATAATTCATTGCCGAAATATTTTAAGTATTATGATATATATATATATGTAACTCATTCAAAGAAAGAGAGAGAGAGAGAGAGAGAGAGAGAAAGAGAGAGAAAGAAAGTAATTACTTTGAAAGAAATACTCATTATCAAACATTAATTTACTGTTAAATATATAATTAATAATAT